TGTTCCTCACATGTTCCTCACGTGTTCCACAGATGTTCCTCACGTGTTCCTCACGTGTTCCTCGCATGTTCCTCACGTGTTCCACACATGTTCCACACAACAAGTCAGGACTCTTTTTCTAGAAGTTCACGTGTTTGTGTGAAAACATCTTGATTGGCGTCCTCAAGCTTCAGTGAGCAGCTTCAGCTGATGATCGTAGTTTGAGTTGATGTTTCCCTGGAGACCAAACCAGCTGAAGTCACGAGGACATTAAATTCAACATGTCGTCTTATACCGATGATGATGATGTCAGAGACGGAGTGATTAACGTGGTCATGTGTTTGTCTGCAGGTCAGTCGTCTCAGCAGAGTTCAGTGCCAGATTACACTGCAGCGTTAGCAGAATACTACAGACAGCAGCCCTACCTGTGGAACCCTGCCCAGATACAGGTAACACACAGGAAACCAATCAGGAACCTGCTCCTGGTTCCTGATTGGTCCCTTCAACATGTCACTGGATTCCATTTAAGAACGTTTGTTTCGTGCTGTGATCCGTGATGTTAGAGCTGAAAACCTCCTGCAGGTTGAACTGCAGACACTCGTTAGTCTCATCTTCAGATATTGTTCTCCGGTCAGTGTGATGAACGTTCTTAGAGAACGATTCCAGAGCTCAATGTCACCACCGGTTTTCTGAAGCTGTTTCCTGATTCAGCGGCAGCATCCTTCGCAACATGTTTGCGTAGAAGACGGGAAGCGAACAGAAATAGACGTCTGGTCTGGAATAGATTTCGTCTTAGTGTCACCAGCTCGTCACATCTTTACTGTAGCATCGTTAACTTCCCGCAGCTCCTCCGCTGAGATCATTAATATTTCAGCAAATAATTGAGGTTTGAAGACTCGAGATTTTAACCTTTGTTCTGTTTAACTGAGTTGAAACCTGTCTTTGGTGTTTGCCGCCATTTTCTTTTTGAAAAGCGATTCGTCACCGGCGCGGAATGAATGTTTGGTTGACCCGTTAAGGATCCAGCTGTCGATTCCTGTGTTGCTCGGAAATGAAAGAACACACCAGAAGGAGCCTTCGGAAGGAAACAGCCAAGTGGCGCTGTGACGCAGACGTGTCAAAGGACGTGTCCCCCTGGACGTGGACACAGCTCGTGTAATTTCACTAAGTCTCTTTCTGGCTGACTTTGTCATTTCCTGTCTCTTCAGGATCACTAGAGGCTCCTCCCTCACTGGTGCAGGTCTTGGATCGTCGTCAATGGCAACCGAAATCGGGGTTTCCTAGCAACGCTCCGCCGCTTCCTCCTTCCTTTTGTAGAGAAAAACTAAGGATTAACTGAAAATCACGAACTCTTTTCTTTCTGTTTTTTAACCTTACAAAGTTGATATTTTGTCGGGCAGATTTTTTTGGACTAGCCTCTGGTCTCTCCAGTGTAGACCTGGTTTTTCTTTTTGTTTTTTTATCAAACTTGAACTTAAAGATGTATCAGTGTGGCTTTGAACAAAAAAAAATCCAGTATAATCTATATTTTCTCTAGT